CGGCATCGTGAAAAATCCAAAAACCACACCTCCCCTTAGGGAGGGGACTACAGTAATTCCAAACATCCCATCCACTGCTTTTGAAGTCTGGAGTCGGTTGTGCAGAACAGGCTCTGTTGGGCTGCCCCCCCCCCCCCCCCCCCCCCCCCGCAATCCCAGCTGGGAGGAGTTTTGCCTATAAAAGACCACACACATTTTGTGAGCTGCAAAACAGAGCTGTTGTTTAGCGATAGAGGAGGAGGAAGAGGCTCATCCACACCCCACCCAAGATGTTTAAGCTGAACCTCGCGGAGGAAGCAACGAAGGTGGGAAACACAGCCCAGGAAACAGGTAAAAGACATTCCATCTCCCTCTCTCTGTAACTTTTTATAACTAGCCCTCTGCAAAGTTTTCACACCTGACCCAGCTTTAGCACCAAAGCGTTCGTAATCTTTTCAGCCAGCCCCACTCCCTGCCCCTTTGGTGTGGTGGTTAAGTGCGGGGACTCTGATCTGGGAGAACCGGGTTTGATTCCCCACTCCTCCACTTGCACCTGCTGGATGACCTTGGGCAAGCCGTAGTTCTGATAAGGGCTGTCCTTGAAAAAGAGGAGTTTCTATCAGAGCTCTCTCAGCCCCACCTACCTCACAGGGTGTCTGTTGTGGGGAGGGGAAGGGAAAGGAGTTTGTAAGCTGCTCTGAGACTCCTTCGGGTAGTGAAGGGCGGGGTAGAAATCCAACCTAGCATAGCATAAAAGCATAGACAGTAACTGCCTTCCTTAACATGAAATTTCATGTTAAACATCATAGAGCTCTTATATAACATGTTGATTTTATCATTAATTTTTTCTTATATTTTGGACACCATTCTACAAACAAAGGATCTGTCTCCCCCCCCCCCTAATCTTACCAGATCCTTCAGGATAGAATTATCTTATGAACTGGTGCCATTCTATTACTGGTTATCAGGGGTCATTTCGTAAAAAAAGAGGTGCAGCAGCTCATTAGCATAACCTATTAGCATAACTTATTTGCATGTGCCACACCCCCTGCCATCACCAGAAGGGTGTCACCGCTCAGGCTCCAGTGGACTGTTTTGGACTGCTAGCTATTTGGGGGGGGGGACATGCAGATCTGTCCTCGCAGAGGAGGGAGAGCTTATACCTGAATAAAACTTGGTCTAAATGGTGCCACTAGACTATTTGGATGGGGGGGGGGCTCTGCAACTTACCTGGCTGCTTCTTGCTCCTTGTGGCCTGGGGCTTGTTGCATGTGCCCGCCCCCTGGGCTCTTTACTGCCGGAGCTCCGCTCCTGTGCGCTCCTGCAGGAAATGACCCCTGGTCGTAGCTACTACACAGGAGAGGGAAGAATTTGGGGGCAGGGGCGGTTTGCAATGCAGGGGGGGGAAGTCTGCTGGCATTTTTCCTCTTGCACCAGGAGTAAAAGACCTCTCTGTGGCTTCACGTGTGATCACTCTCTCGTTTGCTTTTCAAAAACCCTCCTTAGACAAAACTTATGGGGGGGGGGGAAGCAACTGGGCTAAGACCAGTTTTGAACTAGTATTTTATGTTTTCTATGACTGATGGCAAGTCGGGTTCCCAACTCTGGGTTGGGAAATCCCTGGAGATTTGGAGGGTGAAGCCTGAGAAAAGGGTTTGGGGAGGGACCCCGGTGGGGTACAAAACCAAGGAGCCCATCCTCCAAAGCGGCCATTTTGTCCAGGGAAACTGATCCCTGTCATCTGGCAATCAGGTGTCATTTTGGGAGATCGCCAGCCCCCATCTGGAGGTTGGCAACTCTAATACAGAACCCTTGCAAGCAGTGTTCCCTCTAAGCTGAGTTAGTGTGAGCTTGCTCACAGTTTTTTAGCCTCCGGCTCACACATTTTTGTCCCAGCTCAGGAAGGAGGGCTCCAGAGGAAACTAATTTATGCAGTAGCCAAATCGCTCGCTCACAGCTTTAATGCCAGTAGCTCAGAAAGTGGAATTTTTTCTCACAAGACTCCACAGCTTAGAGGGAGCATTGCTTGCAAGTCCCTCTGCATCCTTTTTGTCAGCGTGTTTCTAAGGTAAGATTTCAAACACTGGATAAAATGACTGATATGGCCCATGAGGGGGAACTGGAAAAATTACAGCTTGTTCTTGCCGATGGTTTCATAGGGCAGCTGTGCAGATCTGCAGAAGAACCTTTAGATTTGGGTCCAGTAGCAACTTAAGAGTTTCAAGGTGTAAGCTTTCAAGAGTCAAATGCTTGGGGGTAGAAAATTAGCATCTGTGGTGGGATAATTCATAACAGGGTTCTTACCAGGGCTTTTTTGAGTAGAAAAAGCCCAGCAAGAACTCATTAGCATAATAGGCCACACCCAACAGCAGAAACATATTAGCATATTAGGCCACACCCCTGACAATGCAGCTCATTACCATATCAGGCCACCCCCCATGACTTCCCTTGGCTTGCCCGGGTGCCCCGTGGCTGTGGGGAGCCCGGCCAAGCCCCCACTTGAAGGGAAGGCAGTTTAAACTGCCTTCCCTTGGCTTGCCCGGGCACCCCACGGCTGTGGGGAGCCTGGCCAAGCCAGCCTTTGGACAGGCTGGGGAAGGCACGGGGAGGCATTTAAATGCCTCCCCGATCCTTCCAGGGGCCCCCTGGCCCACCCACCTCGGAGTCGCCGGTGGAGTCGTTCTCCAGGCCTTCCCTCTGTAGCCACGCATGCAGAGGTTTGGGCTGTAGTGGGCGTGGCCAACTCTGAAGCCAGCCGGAACTCCGTTGCTGTGCGTTCCTGCCCCAAAATAGCCCTGGTTCTTCCCTCACTGCTGATGCTGATTTTCTACCCTCAAGCATGTCCCTTTTCCTCGAAGCAAGCAGATTACAATATACTCTCTACTTCCGCATCCTTTGCAAACATTCTTTACAACAGCCCTCCCACCTTCCGACGTGGATGGGAGGACTCCGTTTCTATTCCACCATGTCTGAGGAAGGGAGCTTTGACACTCCGAAGCTCACAGCCTGAAACTCTGGTTGGGTCTCCAAGCTGCTACTGGACTCAAAGCTAGCTTGTTCTTGGCATCCCGCTCAGAATCTCATTCATCATGATGACCACCAAGAGCCATCGGTGAATGGTGGATTGTACCATCTGTAAACTTTGTGCATTGGTAGGGTTGACAACCTCCAGGCGGCACCAGGATATCACCCGCTGCTGCAATTGATCTCCAGGCAGCCAAGATTAGAACCCCTGGAGGAAATGGCTGCTTTGGAGAGTGATCCCTGGGGCATTTAGGCTGTGCTGAGGTCCCTCCCCTCCCCCAACCCCGCCCTCCCCAGGCTCCGCCTCCAAATTTTCCAGCTATGTCCCAACCCAGAGATGGCAGCCGTATGCATTGGACGGTGGAAGCAGCTAAAGGTACTGAGCTCAGTCCGGGCAGCTTCTTCTTCTTTTGCTCCGCCTCACCCCATTCTCCTTACTACAGTTCCTGTTCCCCGTGGCTTTTAACCATGCAAGTCCACGCAGCATTTGGGGGAGGCAAAGGAGAGCCCCCTCTTTCCTGTTTCACCAGGAGAGAAGATGGCTGGAGCCACTCCACTGTGATGCCGGTGCGTGTGTGCACCCATCACATGTGTTTACTCACTCAGTGTCAGGACCCACAGCAAAACAACGAAGTACACGCTTCCAGGAAGGTTTTACTTTTATTGAAAAGCCATAGATGCAATAACACGAACACTGTTAGGAATGGCGGGCTACCTATGCGCATAATAGGTTATAGGGCATTCGTATGCACCCCCCTTAAGCAACACCCAATTAGATGGGTTCCCGCGCGCGGGAGACGGGAATAGTCTCTAACGGTAGCAAAAGCTGGGAACCAGAACGATCCCACGAAAGGTAGACACCACACTCCTCCAGTACCTCTTTACAGATAAGCGTTGCAGCTGGTAAGCAATTAAGCGCATGGGAAGGAATGCATAACAATTAGAATGTCTCTCCCTACTCATGGCAGCTTAGCTGACACTCAGGTTCCCTTAAAGGCCTAGAGCAGGGGTGTCAAACACAAGGCCCGGGGGCCGGAACAGGCCCATCCAGGGCTCTTATGTGGCCCGCAAGCAACTAGTGCAAGGGAGGGAACAGGAGACTGTTCAGGGGGGAGTGGGCTCTGAAGCCACTCTGACTGTGGCTTCAGCATAGCAGAACAACCTCGTCTGCAGCAGTCAAGCAGCGTGGGAGCGTCTGCCCAGTGCTGCACCGCTGGCTCTCCAGTCTGTTCATATGGGTTTTCCTTGGCACCTCCGTGCAGTGAGGGTACACCAACTCGGAGCTCACCAGCTGCTGTCCTTTATACAGTTTATATCTCCGGTACCTGGCATTACATTTTATGGCACACATGGCCCGGCCCGACAAAGTGACATTCATTTATGTCAGATCCGGCCCTCGTAACAAATGAGTTTGACACCTCTGGCCTAGACGTCATGCAGCTCATTGGGAAACATCTGCTTTTTGCAGTAGCAGACAGGAGCATAGTCACTTCTATGGCTTCAGCAGCATTCAAGGACCAAATACTGTTCTAACCAATGCTCCCTCTAGGCTGTGGAGTCTGGTGAGCAAAAATTCTACTTTGTGAGCTACTGGCATTAAAGTTGTGAGCGAGCGATTGGGCTGCTGCGTAAATTAGCTTGCTCTGGAGCAGTGTTCCCTCTAAGCTTGAGTTAGTGTGAGCTAGCTCACAGTTTTTTAGCCTCCGGCTCACACATTTTTGTCTTCTCTCAGGAAGGCGGGCTCCAGAACAAACTAATTTATGCAGTAGCCAAATAGCTCACTCACAACTTTAATGTCTGTAGCTCACAAAGTAGAATTTTTGCTCACAAGACTCCACAGCTTAGAGGGAACATTGCTCTGGGGCCCTCCTTCCTGAGCTAAGGCAAGAACGTGTGAGCTGGAAGCTAAAAAAAACCTGTGAGCTAGCTCACACTAACTCAGCTTAGAGGGAACACTGGTTATAACCAATGTTCCCTCTAAGCTGTGGAGTCTTGTGAGCAAAAATTCTACTTTGTGAGCTACTGGCATTAAAGTTGTGAGCGAGCGATTTGGCTACTGCATAAATTAGCTTGCTCTGGAGTCCTCCTTCCTGCGCTAAGACAAAAATGTGTGAGCCGGAGGCTAAAAAACTGTGAGCTAGCTCACGCTAGCTCAGCTTAGAGGGAACACTGGTTATAACCCCATGCACATCTCTGGTTAAAAAAAAGAGTTGGTACTAGGGTTACCAGGTCCCCCCCCCAGCCAACGGCAGGGGATGGGGGGTAGGGTTCCCAGGGGAGGACAGGGACCTCAGTGGGGTACAGTGCCATAGAGTCCACCCTCAAGTGCATCCGTTTTCTCCAGGGGAACAGAGTTCTGTGGTCTGGCTGTGAGCTGTAATTCCAGAGGATCCCCAGGTCCCACCTAAGTTTGCCAACCTCCAAGATCTCCTGGAATTATAACTGATCTCCAGGTGACAGAGTTCAGTTCACCAGGAGAAAATGGCTGGTTTGGGAGGTGGACCTTATAGCATTATCTGCCAAAATCTCCAGGTATTTCCCAACCTGGAGCGGGCATCCCAAGCTGGTCTCCAATTCATGGTTTACTAGCTAGATTTCATAGACTATGACATCATACAGGATACTTATAAAATCTTCTTGGATTCAAGTATAAAACCAGCTTGATTACATGGTTCTTTTTGAGAAATCCTAAAAAAATACTCGTGTGTGATAAGCTTCCCCCTTGTACAAGACATTCTCTTTTTTAAAAAAAATGAGAAGGGTTTAAGCTTCCCAGATCCAAAACACTTTTTTTAAAAAAAACCCTGACATAAAAAGAACACTTCCCCTGCTGAGGTTTTGTTTCTCATGCAGCTATTAAAAGCCCAGAAGCCTTGCTAGAAAAATATGTTCCTGACCGTAGAACATTCTTTTGAAAGCGTTGGGAATGAAGATTGGCTTGTCTGTCCCCTGGCAACAAAGGGGCATTCTTTGCTCTTCCAAAGGCATTGTGAAAGACAAGATGGCAGTGAAGCCATCTGCACATGTAAACATTAGTATATGTGCTGCCGAAGCGAGTCAAGTCTTCTTATTAATTGTCTCTACTATTGAAATAGAGGAGCTGCGGTGGCTCCAGTGGTTAAGACGCTGAACTGCAGGCTGTGGAAGGTCAGTAGTTTAGCAGTTCAAGACCTGGGTGCCGCATGACAGAGTGAGCTCCCGTCTCTAGTTCCAGCTCCTGCCAACCTAGCAGTTCGAAAGCAAGAAATTGCAAGTAGATAAATAGGTACCACTTTGGTGGGAAGGTAACAGCGTTCCGTGCGCCTTGGTGTTCAGTCATGCCGGCCACATGACCACGGAAACGTCTTCGGACAGCGCTGGCTCTTCGGCTTTGAAACGGATATGAGCACCGCAACCCTAGAGTCGGACTCGACTGGCTTTCGAGCAAGGGAGACCTTTACCTTTACTTTACTATTGAAATCAGCCTGCCAGGCTGCCTGGAAATTTTATTGCTTGCAAATGTGGTGATAACTCTGAGTGTCAATCGTGACTGATCTATGATTGTAACTCATAAAGAAAACATGTACATATGACTTCAACTGAAAGAGAGTTAAAGCGCTCATGTTTGCATAACTCTTTGCAGTACACCGAGCGTTTGGTTGTAGGAGGCCAGGATTCAAATTAGAGCTGCTTCAGATATTACCATGGTACATCCCAAACCAGGGGTCCCCAACTTTTTCAAGTCTACAGGAACCTTTGGAATTCTGGCACGGTGTGAGGGCTGAAGCAACAAAATGGCCTCCGCCAGAGGGTCTCGGCAACCCTATTTTACGGTTTGAAAAAGTGCAGAAAATAAAGCTCTGTGGCATTGCAGGGAGATACTATGAATTTGTTATTGAAACAAAACCATGAAGCATCTTAACATGAAGTATGGGAACCAAACTGATTTATAATTGACAAAAGACTCATTTTGCCTCCTTCACGGCAGAACAAACGTCCCAACCCCATAATTATTCTGACCTTTAAGTAAGAGATCCAGAGAGCTGAAGGAAAACTCTATTCTTCGGTTTTCAGGAGTTTGACATTCAAGCGTTTGGAATCTTGGCACAAAACGTAGCTTTAGAGCTTCCAGGAAAATTGTGAGACATAGGAAACCTTCTTAATAGAAGGAAGCCCCTGGATCCAACCCATACTCCTTATGTAGACGGAGGTTGCCAAATGCCCAGGGAAATTTGAACTTCTTTCCAACTACCCCGCTGCGTGTACTTTTCTTTGGACTGAGGAAGTGAGCAGTGAAAGCTCATCCCTTGCCACAAATGTTGTTAGTTTTTAAGGTGCTACTGAACTCTCGCTCTTTTCTACTAGTACCAAGGTTGTGTACATGTAGAGATCTGGAAGAACCATAATATGGTACTGTACTGAATTCAGCTTCCAGAGCAGCACAGCTATCAAGACGTTTTCCAGATCACACGATTAGGCAGTTATGCTTGGGAATGTGGAAATACTACTTGAAGAATGGTTAAGTAAAACTGAATCGCTGAGGTGGGCCCTGACGCCCAAGAAAATCCAGATTTACACTAGCTAGTAAACATCGTAGAACTACATAAGAGGTTTCTACATACATGAATTCAATTTGCATACTTTATAATTGTTGCAGAACTGGTACAGAAAAGGGCAGTGTGATAACTGTTCGTTTTCATGCTAAGTAGCTTTATTTTCCAAAGAGCTTCGTTATTACTGTATCTGTTCCATAAAAGTGATCTTTGGAATCAGAACTTAACATTTTCGTTCACTTATTTTTGTGTAATTCCAGCTAATTCAGCAAGTCAGGCTATGCAGCAAACAATAGACCAGGCAACGGCAGCTGGTCAGAAAGGTAAGCGGAACAAGGCATCCTACTTCATAATCTGGTAAATTCTTGACTCTTTGAAAAGTATGCAAGGCATCTAACACACCTAAATACCAAGGGAAGAGGATCTGGTGGTTTCCTTCCAAAGACCAGGCTCTTCTAGTAAGGGTATATAATCTTAGAAACACCGCCTAACTAGAGGAATCAGATTTATCAACCTGAGCAGGAAACCTGTCTTCAAGTAACTATTACTGGGAGGATAAAAATACAGTGAATTCCAGATTCTACCCTTGCAAAGTTCAAGGGAACTAACAGACTGGGTCCAGCTGACTTCTCCTCACATTCTCCTTCAGTTGTATCGCTCACTGGATGTCTTATGCTGTATGATTATTTTTTATTCTGTAGTCCACCTTGAGACTTCGTGAGAAAGGTGGGCTATCAAGTAAATAACAGAAGCTGAACTTCTTCCCACTACTACTACTTACTCTTTCTTGGCTTTTCTTCTAGCTCTGTATTGTACACTCTTGAGATACATACAAAAGTCTTCTGCATCAAAGATCCAGTTCTAATCTAGTCCTCACACTCGCTTTTCTGACAGAGGTAGCCAGGGGTTGTTTTGTAGAAAAAGAGCTAGGGGAACTCATTAGCATAACTCATTAGCATATGCCACACCCCCTGACATCAGGGGCCCGGCGGTGGACCTGCAAGGCCGGCGGGAGTGCGAGGAAGCCCCGCCAAGGCCCTCCCTGGCCCCAGGCAGGCAGGGGTGGGGAGAGGCGCGGGAGGAAGCAACTTACCCTCCCTCTTCTCCTGCCTCCTCCTGGCTGAATGAGGGCTGGAAGTGGGGCGGCCAGAAGCAGGGGGTGGGGCTTCATCGTGTGCCCCACCCCTCTGCACCTCACCGGGGAAAACTGCGATCCCCCCCAAATCGACCTCTGGAGGTAGAATAATTACCAGCACTTCATACTCTTCATTATTGGTCATTAAATGTTCAAAAATGTTAAAAGAGTTTTTAATGTTACATAATAGACTTTTGAGGCTACTTGATCCTTATATCTTGTGTTGCTTGTTTCAGGCTTTTGATGTTGTTGTTAATGATTATTTTTAAATGAATAATTTTTTTTTAAAGTAAATAAAAATACTGTAACTATGCAGTACAAGTCATGATCCATAAAAAGCTTTTTGATGGACCAAAGAGACCCATGCTGTGTGTGTGTTGAGTTCTGTCAACTTGATTCTGACTTTTGACAACACTATGAGTTAACGTTCTCCATAATGTCCCATCATTAACGGTCTTGCTCAGGTGTTGCAAACAGAGGGCCTTTGTGGCTTTCTTGATAGAGTTAATCCATGTCACTTTGGGTCTTCCTCTTTTCCTGCTGCTTTCCAACTTTTCCTAGCAGGATTGAGGGACCGCCTTTCCCCATATAGGCCCCAAAGAGCACTTCGGTCGGGGTCACAGCACCGTTTAGTGACCCCGGGCCCAAAAGAGGCTAGGCTAGCTACCACAAGGGCCAGGTCCTTTTCGGTGGCGGCCCCTATCTGGTGGAATGAGCTCCCAGAGGAGATCAGGGCTCTGCGGAACCTTTTACAGTTCCGCAGAGCCTGTAAGACGGAGCTCTTCCGCCAGGCTTTTGAATAGGGGCCGCCGCCGCCACTACCACCACCGCATATATGCGGAATCAGGACTGTCAGGGTAGGCCTATGAGAAATTGGAACAACATGGCTTAGGCCGCCCCTCTCCCTTCTGATTTCAATCTCGGACCTCTTCCTGTCATGTAATGGAGAAAGTGTAAGTTTAGTCCTCCATGTATCTTGTGAGTCGTGAACTGTTTAACTTATGTTGTTTTTAATGTATTTGGTTTTATAGCACTTGTGCCTTGTAAGCCGCCCTGAGCCTGCATGCGGGGAGGGTGGGATAGAAATGGAATTAAATAAATAAATAAATAAATAAATTCCAGTGACTCTTGTCTTCTCATGATGTGACCAAAGTACAACAGTCTCTGTTCAGTTGCTTCAGTTTCGAGGGACAGTTCTGGCTTGATTAGAACCCACTTGTCTTTTTGGCGGCCCACAGTATCCATAAAACTCTCCTCCAACATCACATTTCAAATGACCCTTTCTTCCCGTCACTTTTTTCATTACCCAACAGCTTTCACACTCATACATAGGTAAAGGTAAAGGTTCCCTTGCTCGAAAGCCAGTCGAATCCAACTCTAGGGTTGCAGTGCTCATCTCCGTTTCAAAGCCGAAGAGCCAGCGCTGTCCGAAGACATTTCTGTGGTCATGTGGCCGGCGTGACTAAACGCCAAGGCGCACGGAACGCTGTTACCTTCCCACTGCAGTGGTACCTATTTATCTACTTGCAATTTCTTGCTTTCGGACTGCTAGGTTGGCAGGAGCTGGAACTAGAGACAGGAGCTCACTTCATCATGTGGCACACTCAGGTCTCAAACTGCTGAGCTACCGACCTTCCACAGACTGCAATTCAGCGTCTTAACCACTTGAGCCACCGCAGCTCCCTCACCCATACATAGACCGACCCATACACCTGTTTTCAGTAGTAGAAAAGCTGATTGGATCCAGCCCAACATTTCTGAGTGAGCAGCCCCTTTTCATATACAGTTAAGTTCTACACATTAAGTTTCTTTTAGACACTGGGCTGGTTCATCACACAGGAGTCTTTCTATATGCAAACTGCTGCTGAAATGCTGCTTCACTGTCTGAACAATCAAAACGGTTCTTCTTTGTTTTGAAGCTCTGGATGATGCCTGTAAATCTGCTCAAGATGCTGGTGAAAAGGCTGTACAAAATGTAACAAGCCAGGTAAATGCCTGGGGGAAGAGCTTTGGACTGAGCGAAGAGAAGAAGGATGTTCCAACCTAACCCACTCTTGTGATCTTTTTCTTCCACTGTGCAACTATATATATAAACGTGCAGGCTCTTTAATGCAATGGAAATCCTTCTCTGTTCAACTATGATACGCATTTTACACATTCATTAAAAGTAAAACTGCAAATCTTAAGACTTTTTCTAATTCATTGCTGAAATGCATGTTTTAGACAGAGCTAAATCTGAGTCCAGTAGCACTTTACAGTCCAACAAGATTTTTGAAATATGCGCTTTCTAGAGTTGAAGCTCCCTTTATCAGTTTGGTGTAGTGGTTAAGCGTGTGGACTCTAATCTGGGAGAACCAGGTTTGATTCCCCACTCCTCCACTTGCAGCTGCTGGATGACCCTGGGCAAGTCATAACTCTGGCACAGCTGTTCTTGAAAGGGCAGTTTCTGTCAAGAGCTCTCTCAGCCTCACCTATTTCACAGGGGGTGTCTGTTGTGGGGAGGGGAAGGGAAAGGAGATTGTAAGCCGCTCTGAGACTCTGAGTGAAGGGCGGGGTATAAATCCAATCTCCTCTTCTTCAAGTCTTAAAAGCTGATACCTCAAATCTTCTTGTATCCAAGGTACTCCTGGACTCCAACATGGCTACACTGCTGAAGCCATGTTTTAGACAGTGGTATGTGCTTTGTAAAACTGCATCATGAGATTTACATGGAGATGGTTTGCACAAGCCCTATGGCTCAACATGGGCAGGGGTTCACGGGCAAGAGAAGAGGAGGGACTGGAATTCAAGCTCACATACGATTCCTTGCGTATCCTTGCTAGATATAGAATATGTGGCACAGGCAGCTTTAAAAGAGGATTAGATACATTCATGGAGGAGAGGCCTATTAGTGTTTACTAGCCATGGTGACTGAAGAGAATCTCCACATTCAGAGTCCGTCAACCTCTGAATTCCCAGCGCCAGGAAGCAACATAAGGGAAGGCCTCAGCCTTTCTGCCCTATTTATTTATTTACTTATTGTTGGCTGTCCAGAGGAACTGGTTGGCCACTATGTGAGACAGGATGCTGGACCAGGTGGACCAGTGGTCTGATCCAGCAGGACTCTACTTATGTCCCTCTGCTGCTGGAAATGTACACAAATGTTGTACATCACCATTCTAATATGAAGAGTATTACTGAACTGATTTATTAACAAGGTCCCAGATGAAACTCCATTCCAATTATTTTGAAAAAATTCCAAGAGGGTACTGCTGCTCAGATGACCTTTACAATAGAGATATTAGTCTAACCAAAGAACTGTCATTTGGGCATGAGAGCTGCAAATCTGCAAGAAAAGAAGCACTTTATACATGTATGGGAACTTTACCACGGTGCCTCCAGCACAGATGGCTTTAAAATGTGTTGAATGCAGATGAGCGCTTGCAAGAAGATGGGGCACCATGGATTGATGACAACTATGGATTGATGACAACTATCTGCTGGTGGTCTTCTCCAAGGCAGGTGATCAAACACAGACACTATCGTTAGGCATACCTTCTGATGGAGCGCAGAGCAGCAATTCTTAGGTGCCCAAGACCCCAAAGCATTCTTGGTTCAAACAGAACGAGGAATTCAGCAGCACTTTCTCTTGCTGCTATCACTGCAGGAATTATACATGCTACTTGCATGGAAGCAAAATGAGAGATCATGTCGGGGAGTCAGTGCACCTAATTTGTAGAGGCACCCCTAGGAATGGAGAATCTTGAAATTTCTGGTGATGTGTTGCTTCTAGCGCTATGCCACATCAATGCCCCACCCCCTAAAAAGATACTCAGCTGAGGTCTGAACCCCATTGTGTCTCATTTAGACCAAGATGCTTCCAGCCGGCCCCTCGGACATGTCAGGAAAAAGCTGTTAAGAAACAGAAGCCAGCCTGTGTTTGGAAAGGTCAAGTTTTAATTGCTTTCATTGCCGGGTTATGTCATGAGTTACAAAGTAGCTAGAAAAAAAGGCATGAGTTCCTGGGACGGCTTTAGGTTTGCTTTAAAAAACATTCATATCAGTTACATAAATACATCTGGCACTGTATAGGAGTCCTCCGGACAACAGACCTTGTCAAAAAGCCATCCGGCAAATGTGTGATCCAATCCTGCTTCGAGCCCCCTCCTTATTAAAACGCTGCGTTCGGCCTATGCAAAAAAACCTCCGAACGAAAAGAACAAAGTCAGCGTGATAGGACACGACACAAGGCGTGTAGCAGCCGCTGCCTGTGACTCCTTCATTGCCAATTATTTCAGTTTTAATTGCTCACTGAGGCAACAGCCAACGCTAAACAAGCCTTGGTGAACACACAAATTCAGGAGAGTAAAAACATTGCTCAAATTCTTTGGACTACCTATGTAAAATTATGCTTAAGGACACGTTTTCTCTTTTAAAAAAAGAAAGAAGCTAACTGGATTATGCAGAGATGCAACTGAAACACACAAGAGGTCAGTCCACGGGTGCCTGTACAATGATAACTGCTCCAGCCTATAAAAATGTGAACTCCTGCAACCCGATCTCTATAAGTGCACCATGCAGTACACGTGAGTCAAGGGGAGGCCCAGTACATGATTGAAATGTCGTCTAACAGGAGCAGGGATTGTAAAAAGGAAAAAAACGAAACAAAAACAGAACATACTCGCCAAAGAGAACCAGGCCTCTGGCTCGGTTAATGCGTAAAAATTAGAATCCTATTGAAGTTATTCCCTGCAGGAGGCCTGTTCTGTCTCTGATAATGCCGCTGCATTGATCCTAAAAGGCCTTTACTCAGAAAGTGCTAAAGCTAAGAGGGTTACATCGCTTGAGACCAAAGTGCATGAACAGTTTGCTGTTTGGCTCCAACAAGACACTGCATGTGTGGATCTGAAGCTTCGCTAAGTTGCCTTTTGTGGCAAAGACCACAAAACCTTACAATACAAAAGGTACCTTCTTAAAATGCCAAGATGAAAAACACTCCTTCTGCCCCACCCCACCCCAAACATGCAGACGAATGGGTTATCTTTAGGTATATGTCTCAGCATGAAGCCCTAAATCCGTGTAGGTTTTTTTTTCTCTCTTTTATTATAAAAAGGACTAGCTCTGACAGAAGCGAATTGAAAATCATATCCACTATAAGGAAGTGAGAAAGGAAAGGGATTCATGTGGTTATGTAAACTCGTGATACGCTTTCTGAAGAGGATATGCGACAGGGAGCCAAGATGGAGGTGGAGGAACCGTCCGTTTATGTGAAGGTCAGCCCAGCTTCGTTGTAGACCTTGAAGACCTTCTCAATTGCATTGACATAGGCAGCTGTCCTCAGGTCCAGACCTAGATTGTACTTCATGGCAGTGCGCATGATTTGCTAGAGAACAGAAACACACACACACTAAAATTATCACTAAGCAGACAAGATATACTAAGCCTCTTCTTGCTCTGGGGCAAGGGATGCTCTGTCTTCTTGGTGCTGGGGGGGGGGCCAACAGTGGGAGGGCTTCTAGTGTCCTGGCCCCACTGGTGGACCTCCTGATGGCACCTGGTATTTTTGGCCACTGTGTGACAGAGTGTTGGACTAGATGGGCCCTTGGCCTGATCCAACATTGGCGTCTCTTATGTTCTTATGTTATGTTCTTTAGAAGACACACATGATTATGCTGAATTCTGACTTGGAGAAGCTGCTGAACGACACATTACGTATCAGAATTAGCTTGGGCTTTGTATTCATTTTATAAAATGCCTTGAGGTAGCCAGTAAAGTAGGACACTTCAGATTTGTTAAATCCAGTGGCCCTTGTCCTTCTGCAGTTCAAATGTCTAGGCTTTGGGACACTCAAATTCTGAAAGAGGTGTCAAGATCTACACCGGAGATGACAGTAAGTAAGTAAGTTTTATTCACGGTCATTGACTAGCACCTAGTACACCGATGGCATCTCTTGACAGAGCGTGCAGACTTCTTTCACTACGATGGTTACATAGAATTGCAGGTAGTAACTAGAAGCCTGGCATGCTCATAACCCCTAAACGGACACTTGAAAATTTTATTCCACACGCCCTGAACCACAACTGTGTTTATACAATACATACCCTGGCAGAACGCTCCATGGTGTAGGCCAATCCAGAATGAACAATGTCTTTTTCAGATGCACCCTGTATTGAAACACAGAGGGGAATCTCATAGAACCTTACAAGACACACAGGCTGTTGTGTGGCAGGACTCGCACTGAAAGGAACTGCGATCTGATGTCAGCCCATGTGTTCAATCATGTATTTAAATACCATTGTTTAAGGGACTGAACTTGTATACCTTGCTTGGTTTTTCTGTGTATTTTTTTTGTTTTGTTTACTGCAGGCTAGAAAAGGCAACTGGAAAAAAGGGAATTAAATGAACGGCTGATTATGGATTTCATAAATGCTTAGACTGCGAGCCAAACAGAAGCGGCATATATCATGCACCACTGCAGGACATTATGTTGGTAAGCATATGTGGTTTGCAGCAGAAATTTAGAACTTGTCATAATTACAGTCTCAAGTAAGAACTATAATCTAGTAAAATATACTACTCAGAACTACCTTACACTATCATTACATTGCTTGGTTCTATAAACAGCAAGGTATATTTAGATTCAGGTGGGTAGCTGTGTTGGTCTGAAGAAACAGAACATAGTTTGAGTCCAGTGGCACTTTTAAGACCAACGAAGATAATTCTGAAGAAGTGTGCTTGCACATGAAAGCTTATACCCAGAATTAAACTTTGTTGATCTTAAAGGTGCCACTGGACTCAAGGTATACTTATGTAAAGCTTTGTAGTCGCACACGGAAGTTTCTTTTTGTACTTAAGCAAAAAACTCTATAATTTCTCAGTTATGCAGATTTATGTATATTATGCTGGGCAAAATCTCTCAGATTACTTACAGATATCCTATCCTGGAATTCGGCAGTAGGCACAACTGGAATAGTTCCGCCGTGCTTCCCAAATTTTCTTTCCAAACTTTCTTGGACTGACACTGGAAGGAAAAGCAACAAATTCAGTTAACCTTGAAGAGAGCAACATTATTTTAGCTTTTTAAAGCCTTTAAACATACATTAGTTGTGATATTTATAGTACAAACCCTATCCACTTTAACTCAGAAATAAACTCCAGTGTATTCCACAGGATATGCCAGAAGTGTGCAGATTTACGCTCACTCAGAAGGCAGATCTCAGCAGAAGAAACCGACTCACACATTACTTAAAAATGTTTTCCATACTACAGATATAACCAATGCTCCCTCTAAGCTGTGGAGTCTTACGAGCAAAAATTCTACTTTGCGAGCTTCTGGCGTTAAAGTTGTGACTGAGCTGTTTGGCTGCTGCATAGTTTGCTCTGGAGCCCTCCTTCCTGAGCTAAGACACAAATGTGTGAGCTGGAGGCTAAAAAACTGTGAGCTGGCTCACACTGACTCAGCTTAGAGGGAACACTGGATGTAACTGCCCCTCCGTTGCCACAACTGTGGTGAAGCCAAATTCTTATGAGGCTCATAACTGAGAGCTGTTCTAGGTTTAAGTTATGAAGGTGCTCCCCTAATGCACTGCCAAAATAATGCACTGCCAAAATACATCTACTTCCACGAAGAACACTGACATGGCAAACTGCTTCCAGTTGCAACACAGTATAGGTACTTTTCTCCCTTTCTCACAATACAAGAACTCGTGGGCGCTCCATGAAATTGCTGAGTGGTCGGGTTAGAACGGATAAAAGGAAGGCCTTCTTCACCCAAAGAGTGATTAACACATCGAATTCACTGCCACAGGAGGTGGTGGCGGCTACAAGCAAGGACAGCTTCAAGAGGGAATTAGATAAGCATATGGAGCAGAGGTCCATCAGTGGCTATTAGCCACAAGGTATAGATAGGGACTCTGGGGCAAGTGATGCTCTGTCTTCTTGGTGCTTGGGGGGGGGGGTCACCAGTGGGAGGGCTTCTAGTGTCCTGGCCCCACTGGTGGACCTCCTGATGGCACCGGTATTTCTGGCCACTGTGTGATACAGAGTGTTGGACTGGATGGGCCTTTGGCCTGATCCAACATTGGCATCTCTTATGTTCTTAGAAGGCTACAATGCAAAGTAGGACAACTGCCTTCATCTAGCACAATTCCACTTGTACTGCCTATGATCCAAATCCATGTTTCTAATCACAAGAGCAAATTCCAGGAATGTAACAAACCTAACCAAAGAGGAGGCAGCCAAGTCGGAATTGACACAGGACTTCAGCTAACCTAACACCAAGGCTAACATGCATCTCAGCTTATTCGCTTCAGATTTTTTTCACCTGGCGATGGAGAAAACCATCACAGGAGAAGGTGGAACTTGAAAAACAGACGTTTGCTGTAGCAAATTGTTGTAGCTAATAACTTTCTGACGGAGAATGAAATTTCCATTCTTCAGGGTCAAATATTGCATTATTCCATGCGGGAATGCATTAGAAATAAGCCAAGAGAGAAAGTCTAGCTGTCAAGAGGCTAGATTACAAACCATCACAAGGAACTTAGAGCTCTCTCCAGATTTCACCTTAGCCTGGCAGCTTAAGAGATAATGTAGGTCAACAGAGTTTGGTGCATTTTCCCCAGATGAAGTGAAGAGGCTGTTCGACTTACTGAGCAAGTGGTAGTTCGAATCCCTTTCATATTTAAAGGTCAAGCGACCGTAGCTGACGTGGTTCAGGTTCTTCAGCCACTCGAAGTAAGACACTGTTACACCACCAGCATTTAAATACAGATCCTGTACGGAAACAAAATGTTTTGAAATTGAACTCACCTGTTCATGTGCCCTTATTGAACTTATTCATGTGCAAAGGATCCAAAACACTATTTAGTAGGGGGTTTTTTATACTGGCCAGAATAATGTTTGTCCTCTAGAAGTATGTTCCCATTTTAACAAGCACCTCTGGTGAAAATCACTGGCATGATATCAAGGGCGAGAGGAAGCACTAGAGATGTGAAGGCCCAGGAAAAAACTAGAAAAATTCGGGGAAAACCCAGGTTTTTTCCCTGAAGCCTCTTTGTTTTTTTCCGAAAAATTGGAAAAAGAAAACAAAAGAAAAAAAATTGATTATGGAACGTTTTATTTTAACATGATGAATACAATATTTTAAGACAAGGTGTTCAAATATTTTCCAAATCATTTCTAATATATATATATATATGGTATCAGATTGATCTAATTTCTGTGCACTGAGGACAAGCAAGTCCTAGGTTACAAATTGAACTCTCCAATGCAAGAACAAGATGCATTTCTTCCTTTAGGAGGTGCGATTGTCAGAAGAAAATAAAAAAGTTTCAGTTTTGTTTTTGCATGTGGGTGGGTATTCTGTTTGTAATAATTGTTTGGATACACTATATTTTTAATATGCTAGTTGTGATAATTTTTAATTAATTAATTAATTTTTAATTAATTTCATGCCAAGTAAAAATGTCCATAGTCATATTTTATGTTCCTAAAGTAACAGAATGACTTTCAATCTAGAAAAGACAAAATAAATGCTAATGTAGCATTTTTTCAATGTATCCGAAAATTTCCGTTTCCCCCGAAAAAAAACGGGTTTTTTCCCGAGCTTCAAAATTTCCAGAAATTTTACATCTCTAGGAAGCACATGCTTTTACAAGATTAGTGTACATAAGAGAGAACCTTACTGGAATAACCATGATATTCCGTTCCAAGAAAATTTTATCTGCTTCGGGAGTTGTGGGCCCATTAGCACCTTCAGCAATGATCTGAGAAGACAAAAAAATAAGAATGCTACAGCTCAGCAATGAAAAGTTTACATTCATGTTCCATAATTCCTCCGTGTTTACAGGACGGCATTCACAATTTAAGGTCCTATTGCCAAAAAGTTTTAATTTGTGTGTTCCTCTTACTTTCGCCTTGACTTTACGAGCATTGGCTTTTGTTAACTGCTTCTCGCTGGCGGCTGGGATGAGGATGTCACAGTCGGCTTCGAGGATGTGGCAGTCCAGGGCCTGTGCCTTGGGGTAGGTGAGAATGGATCCATGTTGCTGTTTCGACAGGAAAAAAGGCATTGTAATCCAGTAGGCATTGTAATACAACAGAGGCTTCTATTTAAGGCACATGCTTCTATGCCAAAGCTTCATATTCTTTCAACGCTTTAGTGGAAGAAGCTGCAGTTGCTGTCATAGCTTTCAAAATACAAGTCAAACATGCTACAAATCAAGAACATTCTGAATTATTTTAAGCTTTACCACTTTTCCTTTCAATCTTTTTAGCAGCACTGGGAAAGGACACCAGTGCCTGTATATCATCCTTTAAAAAAGGAAGTGTTCTTACATCGAAACTTTTGAGAGGCAAGATATTCAGGAGCAAAAGTTCAGGCTGTGCTCTGACAGAGGCTGAATATTAACCAGCAAGCATTGCTCACATTAATACCAGCAACGGTTTTCTTAAAGCATCAGGTGCTTGCATTCAAAATGCTCCTAACCAAAAAAATCTACAAGGTGGGAAGCCAGTAACAAGTTACCATCAATCAGTTTGCCCCTCTCCACCAAGATCACAGTCTTGCTCAAGTTCCATGAACTGCAACATACATTAAAATGATTTATTCTAATAGCCTTCCCGCTGGCAAGATTTTATGCACCGAAGCTGCACAACTCTGCAATAAAACGAATATTAAATATTAAAATCTGTTTTCCATACCAATTTGTAATCTTCCAACTCCTTTGGGTCAAGTCCATCGGGATTCCATATAGCACCATCCTTTTCCCCAATGGCCACACATTTTGCACCGTATCGATGCAGATACCGCATAGAATGCAGACCCACATTGCCAAATCCCTGTTTAAAAAAAGAGAAGGGAATTAAATTCAGCACAGCTGAAAAACTACTCCACGAGTAAACTTGAAGAGCTAAGATGCACAGGACTCATACTGGTTACAGTCACCTGAGCGGCTTGGCTTGTGGTATCCATGGCATGACACTCATCTGCATCTTTAACAAAAGGCCATCAGCTTCAGTATCACTCGCTTATGAATACAGCACGTTGCTTGGCTTTCGTCAAGTCAAAATTGAGAGCATTTCTATTCATGTTCCCAGTAGTTTGAAACACTAATCTAAGTACTTAAACTGGAGGAGGGGGGAAGCTGGATGTTGCCTGGCCCACCCGTGTTTACCACCTGCCCAAGATACAACCATCCCCCTGGAATGCCAGGCTCAACAGACAAGAGGCCAGGACATCAGATACTTGCCCAGGGTTGCCAGTTGGCTATCCTAGGTTAGAAAATTATGGAAGGATTCCAACTGCACAGGAAGCCTGATAAGTAACACATGGAATTCACTGCCACAGGAAGTGGTGGCGGCTATAAACATGGATGGCTTCAAAAGGGGATTAGATAAGCATATGGAGCAGAGGTCCATCAGTGGCTATTAGCCACAAGGTATAGATAGGGGCTCTGGGGCAAGTGATGCTCTGTCTTCTTGGTGCTGGGGGGGGGTCAACAGTGGGAGGGCTTCTAATGTCCTGGCCCCACTGGTGGACCTCCTGATGGCACCTGGTATTTCTGGCCACTGTGTGACAGAGTGTTGGACTGGATGAGCCTTTGGCCTGATCCAACATTGGCGTCTCTTATGTTCTTATGTAACCTCCCCTAATGTCAAACTCAATGTAGTGCTGGAATTAGGATCAAATAGAGAGAACGATGGCATTTTATAAACATGACTAGAAGAGCATACCTAGTTTCTGACCACAATCCTACACGAGAATATCTACATGTTATAGTTAACACTGCACTGGTGCAGTATGGAACTTAAGGAACTTTATAAGACATTCAAAATTAAAAGGTCCTCTTATTTCGGGACAGAGATGATGCCTTCATGTTTCCTTGATTACTTTTCTGGGGGTTTCTTGGTCCAAGGTTTCAGTTGGTTATTTAAATTTGGGCACATGCCCAGCCCATTTCAGCTCTTGTCAACACAAACATTCCAAACAGCGGCAGTGCTAGCTTCCCATTGCTTTCCCACAGGGTCAGTGCGGGTCTCGGCTCGATTAATTGGCCAATTACAACAGTTTGCAGACAGCTCCCTCATTATTATAATTATTGCAGCAACAACGGTCAACATTAAGTCCTGACACAGCCATGGCTCCAAATAGATCACTGTTATCTAAAAGCAACATCCTGGACATGACAGAAGCGTCACCTCGGTCATAGCAAGATTCAAAACCCGCTTGGGTGAACAGTGATTGTTCAGAAGTACACGTTTAGGTCAGCCTGACAACATGTTACTTTCTGCCTCATGAAGCCTGGAGTGTCCAGGAGCAGATGGCTCATCTTGGAATAGAATGGATTTTTTGTCAATTACGAGACAAGAGTTTGTGAAAGGTGCAAGCTGGCATTCCTACACGCCTCAAACAACTCAGGTCACATGCAATGTCTGAATTCCTGTCTCGGTTGCTGGGTGAACTTGGGCTATTCACACACACATAACACAGTCACACATGCAGTTGTTGTGAGGATAAAATGGAGAAGGGGAGAATGTTGCAAGCTGCATCGGGCCCCTACTGGGGACAGAAATAGGGTATAAATGAATAAAATAATTTGGTGAAACCAGGGCTCTTTTTGTAGAAAAAGCCCAGCAGGAACTCATTAGCATAATAGGTCACACCCAACAGCAGAAACTCATTAGCATATTAGGCCACCCCCCTGACAGCACAGCTCATTAGCACATTAGGCCGCAACCCCATGTTACCAGAAGTGTGGTTATCCAGCCACACCCACCTTTTGCTTCTTATTCTGTTTACCTTGTTTGTTGTCAAAACCCAGGGCCTTTTTTTGTAGCAGGATCTCCTTTGCATGTTAGGCCACACACCCCTAATGTAGCCAATCCTAATGAGTTTCTGCTGTTGGGTGTGGCCTATTATGCTAATGAGTTCCTGCTGGGTGTGGCCAACTTGGGAGCCAGCCAGAACTCCGTTCCTGTGCGTTCCTGCCCCAAAATAGCCCTGGGTGAAACCTTGATTTTACAGAGTGCTAGGAAGGTGTCCAAACCTTCTGTTCAAAATCCCTCAATTTCACCAGCTCACATGACTGAGAATTAAGAGCATTCAAGATGGTACTGCAGGCAGAAGGCTATCGAGATTTTTGTCTGGTGAGCATCAGTTAAGAACTTCTTCAAAGATAATCAGTAAAGCAAGATACACTTCCCATCCCACATGTGGCGGTTGTTCTACACTGAGTACCTGGATAGCAAATGTTTTATCTCCAAATCCTGGAGTCATTCCCAAGAGGCTCATATAGGATGCTTCATTAATGAAGTTCTCAATTCCATGGAAGACACCACGGCCTGTGGCAGATATACGTCCGTGGATGCCACCTTGGCTGATTGGCTTTCCAGTAACACAGGCATGGGCATTGATATCCTGCAAGATAATAAAGGAAGTTAAGAGTTTTCTGTAGAACATTTTGACAGACGCCCATGAATTTTAATAAGTTAAGGACCTGCCAAATGAATTTTAGCCCTACTAGAGGTAAGGAAATACCTAGATACCTCTTCAAACACCAGTTCAGTTCACTAACAATACGGTATTTCATTAATTAGAAAGCATTTCCCTATTAAGGTAAAATGCATTTAATTAATGATCAGAGGAATGATTACTAGAACAATGAACAACTGCCCCTTGGGAGGGAGTTACTGAACTTAATCTTGATATCACTTTTTAAAGCTTTTTTTAAAGTATATTTTCCATCAAAGTTC